ATTGTCTTGAAACCATTTCGTAAGCGGACAGTGAAATTGATACATGGGAAGAAAAGTCAGATCGTAGGGTAGATTTTAAAGTGTTTAATATTTATTGTGGGTCTTCTCCAACATAGTTGGAGGTGATTTAAACTCTTTCTTTCAACCTGAGCAAATTGATTTAAGGATGAAACCTCACCTGGGGAATTTTGTGTCATTCAGTAGTTAAGTCTGTTGGTTTTTTTTTTTTTTTTCTTTTTTTTTTCTTTTTTTCCTGAAGTTTCCCTGTGTCGGGATGCACCAAGTAGCTATCGAGTTTTTATGAAATGGAGGCTTAACTGCAGCGTACAATCTAAATGCAAAACCCTTAGATGGAAGTTTAATTGTGTAAAATGTGTACAAGGTAATTAAGAACAAATTTTAAGACATTTTGGACTATAAAGTCTCCCTTCAGCTATATTGAAAACAACACTTATTTTCAATTTGCAGATATGCAGAGAAACATAGGATATGTCTAAATGAAGAATTTAAAAAAAAAATAGTGTTTTTTAGTGCAGGTGTAACCTTAAAACTTGTCCCATTGCATTGCCCATGGCCTGAGTAGGCTCCCTGATCTGAGTCTTCCCGCCACTGCTCTGGCTACATCACATTCTTTCTTTATAGTTCCACTATGGTAGTTATTTTCCTGTCATGTTACTTTGTAAATATTTTCTATCCTAACTTTCTGTAAAAATACCAGAGTACCAGAGAGTTCATTCTCTCTCTCTCTCTCTCTTCCTCCCTCCCTCCCTCTTCCCCTCTCTCTTTGTCTCCTCCCCTCTCTCTTTGTTTCCCCCCTCTCTCGTGTGTGTGTGTGTGTGTGTGTGTGTGTGTGTGTGTGTGTGTGTGTGTGTGTCTGTCTGTCTGTCTGTCTGTCTAACAGGCCCAAATATATATATTATTTACACTATAAAACCCACCATACTTTAGTACTGCTACCTCAAGAACAATTCGTAGGTTATGGTTGGTCAAATCAAAGATCAATAGATGACTTTAAGGAACCTTTCTAGTTTCACAGTTAAGTGTAAGTGGTTCCTGTTATTTCAATGTATTCCCAACTTGTGACCATGCCCACAGTCTCCTTTTCCTGTGCTTTACACAAAAAAATGTCCCATAACCCCTCTTTAGCAGTTTGTTGGCTCTTAAGTGTTTGGAATTAAATGCACTTGTGTATTTAACACTGAAAAGAATCCTTTCCCTGCCTCCTGCCCTGCCCACCTGCACCCCAGCCACCCAAAAATAGACCTGGTCCAGGTCCTTGGAGTCAGCCATTCTTCTCCTGAGAATGGAGGGGGTAAGAGGGTCTGTTGGTGGATTGCTGGTGTGTCTTCATTTTTCAATATGCTTTTTTTTAAACACTAGACTTAAGTTGCCTATATTTAAGTGCTTCCCATGTAAAGTGACAGAGCCAGTGAAGATTTCTATTGGCTAAGCCATAATCTGTTTGCTTTTTTTTTTTTTTTTCAATCTTTCTTTTCCTCCCCCTTTACTTTAACTGTTAACCTATTTATAAATCTAAATCTACACACAGAGGTCATTGGTTGGCTGAACTTAAACCATTTTACTCAGTAAATTTAATTAAGAAAATACAGTGCAACTCATAAGCAAATGAGTTTTTTCCTAGTTTTAAACCAAACCACCCTCTTGAGTGCTGATTGCCTTGCCCGACCCCTGGTGATACAGAAACAGGCAAAATTAAAAAGGACATTAAAGCTTCATTAAATCTGAAACACATTTAGTACAGTGACATATCTGCAGGCCATTTCAGAGAAGATTACATACTCTCTTTTGTAAGTTTCCTAATTTATAATACCTTGACAATAAAAACTGGGGAAATGCAAGTTGATTAATAGGCCAGTAGGCTAAAAGACACAAACCAGTCCAGGCCCAGCCATCTGAAATGCTCAGAGCATATGTGCTCCCTCCCCCGAGGCGTTTATTCTGACTTTTGTGAAGAAGTTCTTCATGCAGCCATGTCTGCTCAGAGTGTGCTTTCTACTTCCACCTAATAGCTTGGCAAAGAGGTTCTGGGGCCTACCCATGTGTTTCCGTCCTCGTTGTCATAGGCAGGTTGTGGGAGTGAACAGCATTGGGGCTACGTTATACCCAGGGATAAGGACACACATGGAAGGCAGAATCCTCTGAAGGGGCCTTCAAACAACTGCCTTCAATGCAACCCAGTCACACTCTGCCTGAGCTCACTAGTGTAGAGCTGGGACCCTTAAGCCTGCTGCCACAGCAGCCCAGTGATAACACTCCATTAAAAAAAAAAAAAAAAAAAAAAAAAGTGATCACCCTGTACCAAGGGCAAGAGACCCTTCTGTGTCGTCTAAATCCAAAGAGATCACACCTGCAAGATGTCTGGTAGGATTGAGGTCCCAATGGATAGAATGCCAAGGAAACACAAAACAAAATTAAACCCAAAAATGCTGCTTGCCCCAGGTCAGCCACTGCTAACTGTTCCTACACAAACTGAACAAAGGGACAGCCACCAGCCTGCCACACCAAGTCTTCTCTGCTTCCCCACATAGTGGTGTCTTAAATGAACGACAGCAGTTATCCTTGCTTCCCTGTTATAAAAGAGGGGCCAGGTGCATGCATGCACATACTCCTGTCTGCTGGATCCCAGCTGTAGGCCAATGATGACCGACAAGTCAGTAACCCTGTGATAAGATGGGTGGGTTTCTATTCTCCCATTAGTCTGCTCTTGTTTCTTAAGCCTTCTGCTGATTGTATTTGTCTGTGTTTGTTTCGGGAAAGGACCTCACTATGTAGCCCAGGCTGATGTTAGTCAGGATCCTACTGCCACAGTTTTCTAAAGGGCTAACATCACAGACAAACACAATCACACCTGTCTCCTTCTTGGTTCTTTATACTGTAAGAACCAAGAGTGTTGGCACTGTGGGTTTCTTAGATCTTGATAGTGTGTGTGGCAGGCATGTTGCTTCTGCCAGTAAATTGTGTGAGCAGAAATCTTCCATGGCCCCCATTGATGTGTTCAACATGTACCCACACAAATAGTGACATCTCTCTAAGCTCTAGGTGTATCACCACAGTTATCAGGCTCTTAGCCATTTTAGATGAGAGATCCTTCCTTTGCTGTTTCTTTACCCCAGATGAAAGTCATACTCCACATATCAGTGTGATAATAGGTCACAGCTTTTGGTCACTCCTCACTGCCTGCTGTGTCATTGCAGAATGGTATACCCACCACAAAGGACCACAGTGACCCCTGAGTCAGTGTGCACACTCTCATTGACAGTCACACTATTTTTCACATCTTATGTGAAAAGATTAAGGAAATCCATCAAATGAACTAATGATACCTTAAATTTATATCTTGAAAATACACACACTTATTAATGTATGTAAGCTATGAGTATAAGATGGCACTTAGATATTCCATTATACACAGCACACACATGTGCACACGCAAATATCCAAATGAGTGTTGGCCTTTTCAAAGGAGTCCACCATACAAAGTCATATGACTTGTCCCTATTACATCTCTGTTCAGACTGTCTTTAGAATTTTGAAAACTTCAACCCTTCAGCCTGCCCTTAGCACGTGATCTTTGCTGGTATTGGGGGTTTGAACATACATGGGTCATTCAGGCATCAGGCTACACAGGAGTCACATGATCACCAAGCCGAGGAGTGTCTTTAAATCTAAGCTTTGATTAGTTCTCACAAAGTGAAAAGGGTGTTCTTTTGTTTCATGAAATGATTTTAAACACCATTTTAAAAGAGGGGTTTCAGAAGTGTTTGCACAACAGCAGTGTCTTTGATACAAATATGTAACTGTCAGACTCTCGGAAGATAGCGCTGTGTGCTGGGAGAACACTGGATTGAAAACAGGTTTGGGGACAGCCCCTAGATTTCTTTTGCCTAAACGTGTGAGAATGCCTTGAGGGACTCTAGGATTTGTGTCTGCCCTATAGGTCCATGTGCTTGGATGCATCCTTGCTTCCTGGGTGTTACACTTCTACTTTGCAAGCAGTTACAGATGTGTGTGGGGTTCAGAACTGAGAGTGGGCCACACTGGGAAGCTGCACATTTTCACCATCATTTCCTTTAAGTAGGTTTTGGTAAGCTGGGTGTGCAGGTCCACACCTTTAGTCCCAGCCCTTGGGAGGTAGAGGCAGAGGGATCTGTGAGTTTGAGGCCACCCTGGTCTACAGAGTGAGTTCTAGGACAGAACAGGACTATATGCAAAGACCCTGTCTCAATAAATAAATAAATGTAAATAGGTTGTAGTTTCTTTGTTCAGTCTGATCTTATTACATATCAAGCCTTTACTTGTCTAAGTCATTTAGTTTTTACATGTGGGTTAACAAAAGTGACTAGTCCAGAAACAAAGAGCAGTACACGAACCAAAACGGGCACAGGGGAGAGGATTCACTCTCCCAGGTTCAGATGAGACCTCCAGTTCCACCTTCACAGCCCTCTGTGGCCTGTTCAGTACCAGTAGGGCCCTAACTGATGGGAAAGCTTGACGCAGTAAGTGGGTGAGAACAACGGTCCAAGTTTCAATTTCATATTACAGCCCACTCCCACTTCCTACAACCCTTCCTTCAGCCCTGTAGCCTGAAAACACAGAGCTGTGCTCTAGAACCAACTGTACCACCATCCCATCTCACAGGAGGAAGTCCCACAGACTTGTATATCTCTGTCTCAAGACAACTGTCCCCACACACGTTAATAATACCCCCAGAGTTGAGAAGGTACCTACAAGAAAGTATGTGGGGTAATGTTCAGTTATTAAAATTGGGCTGTTTTTATCAGAGATAAAATATTGTCTGTGAAAGAGGTCCATTCTAAATACAGTTTATAATGTAATTACAGCAATAATTTAGTTCGTACATTAGTTCTGGATTTTTTTTGTTTGCTAGATGCAATTTTGAAATGTAGTCCTTGTCTGTCTTAAGGAGATCTGCCTTGCATGCAAATCTATAACTAGACAAATATTATTTCCTTTCCCAGCTTGCTCTTGGGAGGTTTCCATATCCTCAGGTAAGATTGTTCATTACTGCCATTTGCCACTGTGACATTCATTCCTATGTATGAAGGTACAGGAAGCGATTGTGAACATTTGAGCCCCACACAAATAAATCTGTCCTGTTAAAATGAAAAGTAGTATCTTAAAGGAATCATTAGAAGTCTCCACTGGATTTTTACTGAGGGAGGGGGAAAAAAACCTCGACTTTTTCCCTTGTCAGAAGTTGACTGAGACCATCATGCTCCTCTTTGTCCTTCCTGCCCAGCTCCATATCTCATGCCAAGGTTGCAAGAGGGGCCCACTCTTTTCTTCATACTTCTTATGAGCATTTTGTAGTCAATCGAAATTGTTTGGATTAAAAGATGAAAACAAAGGATGGAAATACCTGATGTGGGTCATTGCTTTTATGGGGTGCACAGGCCCCAGTCTCCTGTGCCTGTGATTTTGAACACATTGCACCTTTTTGCATTTTGCTTCTTCCTGTTCACAAAGAGTTTGTTATCAAGTATATCAAGTATAAAAATCCTAAATTTTTATAATTTCTTCACAATTTTTACTAGAGAGGGATGCTGCCCGTTAAGATATAAAGCTATTTTGTGGCTTGAAAATGATTCCCTGCTGTTGGGGGCCCTATGAGCAAAATGTCCAGAGGGATGAAAAATGAGCGGCTGACGGGTCTCTTCTGGTTGATGTGTGCTGTTTTTCTGGCATCTTGGTCTGAACAGGCCAAAGTGCCTGGAGGCATGTCTGATTTAAAGGTGGTGTTGGTCTCTGCTCTTTAAGCATCTATTAACTTGCTATTATTATGCAAATAAGTGTTGTATTACACATACTAATTTATGCATGGTTAGATTATGCAGATGCATCACAAACATGGTTATTGAATAATAGGAAGGGGCTCCTTCTCCCTAACCACCTTTAGAAGCAGTTCTCGGCATATTCTCCCAGTACCCATGTGGACTTAAAGAGTCTTCACTCACCGAAATGTCTCTTTTGAAGCCCTTTTCCTTCACAATTAAAATCATCAGATAAGTAGAAGAGAAAACATCCATGTTGTTAGGTCTCACTTTTCAAATTGGAAAGTCTTTTTGCTTAAGCATAATCTTTTTTCTTTAAAGAGAAAAGCTAGAATGCAGCCACTTGGCACATACAAGCACATAGTGAGATCTTGACATGCACAGCCATGCCACTCAGCTCTATAGGTAGTCCATCAGATTAAAATCACATTGTCAAGATTTATAGTCATTTGAATATTTATCTTGTTAAGCCTCTTAAGTCTGTCGGTAATTTGTAAACAATCCAGTGTTTGGCTAATGCATGTAATCCTATAAGACTGTGGAAATGAACATGAGGCCCTTCATGACCCAACTCTTAAACTGGTCTTAATAAAACACTTAAAAAGCCATCAGATAAAGATCAAGGGCCCTCAAAATGGCTTGTCATGCAAGCCTGTTGACCTGAGTATGATCCCTGGGACCCAAAGTGGGTGGTGGAGAAAACTGGCTCTCACAAGTAACCTCCCACCTCCATACATGTACCTCCCTCTATAATAAATAAAATGTGTTTTAAATTTTGAAAACTGAAACTGTAGCCAGATCCTTGAGGTCCTCAATATGCAGAGTAAGTAAGCAGTGACACTGGCTGAGTGAGAAGTCTCAGTGTGATTGTTATTGTGTGACCTGGAGCCCTTGAATGCCACAGTTGGATTTGGAACAGGCAGGTGTACTTCACTGAATGACGAAGTACCCTGCACATGATCAGTTGCATGGAAGTTGGAAAGTTCTAATAGTCTGAGCTCCCTCATTAGGAATAACCTTTACGCCAAGGTATGTCTAGGTAGGGGATTATTCCTTGAAATATGATAGAGCACTATCACCAAAATGATGCTTTTATTTCAAATAAAAGTAGCCTTGATGCCATCAGGTCCTTCCCCAGATCTTTCATCAGAAGTTTGGGTGATTCACTACTGAAAATCAGTAATGACTTTTACATTTACAGGCTTTATGTTGCTGTTGAAAGGTTGGGAAGAGATCCTTTATAAATGCTTTCCAGGGGCTGGAGAGATGGCTTAGCAATTAAGAGCCCTTGCTGCCTTCTCTTCTAGAGGACCAGGGTTTGGTTCCCAGCACCCATGTTGGGCAGCTCAGAACTGCCTGTAAGCCCAGCCCCAGGGGATCGAATGCTGTCTTCTGAACTCTGCAGGCACCTGCTTGCATGTGGTGCACATAAACTCACATAGACACACACATGTAAAAACGAATCTGTCAATTATTGTCTCTCTGCTCCTTTCTTCTTCCCTCAGATGTAAAGGTAAATGTTTCTGAGGTGTTGCAGAGACCGATCATGAGAGCACACCTTTACTTTGTCCCACGATGCCACACTTGAACTTCTGTGTGCTGTGAGACATCCTTCCTGTGTGACATAAACAGTCACCATTACTGACTGCTTAATTGTGTCTGATTCGGTAACATTAACTCTCAAGTGGGGTGGGTAGGAATGAGCCATAGACTGGAGTTGAAAAGGATTGTGTCATCAAGTCAAACCACACCATGGTATCAAAAAAGCAGATTCCTTGCCTTTGACTGTTTTGAGTGACCAGAAGCTCAACACTTTACCCAGCAGTCCTCTGTCCACCACACTGAAGACTCTGGTACCTTGCATATGGTTTTTGACCGATTGGGTTGTATCCTTTTGAATCCCTCCATACGTGGACTGGGGATAGTGCCAGAGACTTGAGTTCTGCTCCCAAAGTCAAACCAAGGCCCCAGACTGCTGTTCTCTTCCTTAGAAGCTAGTTGAGAATGCAGAGGTGAGTCTGAACTTGCATCCAAAGAATTGGCCCTACCATAAAGTCACTGATCCTTCACTCCTGCTTTGTAAGTTCCTTGAGACCTTATCTTTCCCATCTTGGAGAGGAAACTCATGGTATCTGCCTTCTCTTTCTGGTTTAAGATATTATGCTGCTCAAATGAAGTGATGGATAAAAGCCACTTAGGCAAGTACAGAGAGCTCCCAGTGCCACCATGGCCCCCAGTGCAGACTGTAACTCAAAACAGCATTTGCCTCTGAACAACCTTCAGCCCCTCTGGAGCAGAGCAGAGCAGAGGAAGGAGCAGCAAGCTTCCAGACTTCCTTTTTCCGGCCCAGCACCAGTGCTGCTAACAACATCTTTAGCAGTCCCTCTTCCAACTGGTGACAGGGTGTTTGTATCAGGTGGGGTGCAGATGAGGGAGAAGGGCTTGGATATGATAGTCCGTGGCCAGGGACAGTGTAAGGGAAAAGGATGGATTTCTTTGAGATCATCCTTCTGTGTGAATGTCATTGTTTTGTGTAATTGGGTGTTTGCTGTTTGGCAACACTTGCAGGGTTCCCTTTCAGCCTTGGAGTAGCACAGGCTCATGGGGATGCAGTCTGGATTCTAAGAAAACGGTTAGGGGCCTCCATTACAGCAGTTTTCATTATTGCTGCTGTCACAAGGAAAACGGTGGAGATGTGACCCAGTTGGTAGAGTGCTGACCTAACAACCCAGTATCTGGGAAGTGGAGACAGGAGGCTGAGACATTCAAGAACGTCATTGGCTGTGTAGCAAGCTTGAGGCCAGCCTGGGATACAGGAGACTGTCTCATACAAACAAACAAACAATGGAATGGTGTCTTCAAGTCACCCAGCACCTTTCCTACCCAGATTTCCTGGGTAGGGAGCACTTTCTATGCCTGGATCCCAAGCCTTACGTCCCACCACAGGGAAATATTATTTCCAGCCTCCCAGTGAACAGGCCACACACCTCATCTTAAAAAGGAGTGGGGGTAGTTAGGTCTAGGACTTGGAGGCATTTAAACTCAGTGACTGGCTGTTTCATGTCACCTCAGCTTGGTGGCTGTTCATAACTCTGCCCCCCTTCTTGGGAAGTTCACCAAGCCCTGCTCTCACCCTGCCTCCTGCCAGAGGGTACGGGGAGAATGAGCATCATGGGCTGTGCTGATGTAGATGACAAGGCTATTCCCTAGAGCCCTTTTGCTTTTCTTGTTATGTGTTTAGTAGAGTGACAGGGAGATGCAGATGGCCTCAGAGCCCTCACCAAGCCCAGTGCCCTGAAATTCTGGATGCCTGTGGAGCGTATCCCATAACGAGATGGCGGGTATTTGCTTTTTGCAGCATCTCAAAGGTAACTCCATTGAAGAATTCAGCTTTGATGGTGATATGGAAAGATCTGTGGGTCTAGACAACAAGAACTAGACCGTGTGTAGTTGGTCATGTAGATCCAAAGTCAGTTGACTTAAAAACATGGCAGTAGGCAATGGTTTGTTTAATGACACCATAATTTGGGAGAAATGAAAATGATTGCCCACTAAACATTGCCATCCTTCATTCAAACTTTGTGGCAAGGCCCTGCATTTGGACAATGGTAAATCCATTAGGGAGACTTCTCAGGGGCCAGCCCCAATAGGGCACCAGGGGATGTGGTAGGCAGGATGCCTCAGGAAAGTAAAGCTAACACAGACACAAATGTGTTTAAAGTACTTTGCATATGTAAAAATATTGTTCTTGTTTTGGCTACAATTCCTGATCTTGGTTAATAAATTACATCAAAATGACCCCGAGTTAAAAAGGGAGGGGGTGGGGGAGATCTGAGCAAATAGTGCCCCTGGTATTGTAAAGCTTTGAATGTTTTCACACCCCATTAATTTATTACTTCTCTTTCTTCATCTTTAAATTTCATTTTTTTTTTCAAAAATTCCGACTCCCCGCTGCTGCAGTGATTTCCATCTTGTTGTTAATTTCCCCTGCTCCATATGGAGCTCCAGACATTTCACCTGGAGGCTGTACTAGATTTTGCTGTAGTGATCCTACTTCCGGAGGCCAAAACTGTCATTTAGGGTTCCTGGTGCATCTGTCGGCGCCAGGCTTTTCACTGGCATGGGAGAGTGTGAATAACAAATTGGATGCACCTGAGATTCGGATGATTAGTGTGCGCTGTGAATCTCTGAGACTTGTAAGCTGCCCACACTGGGGG